GGCTTTGCTAGTAGCCATTATTTCAGCTAGGAGAGTAAGCGACATGTACGCTTTGTTGATTTTTGGATCCCTATTGCACAATTCTTATGGACAAAATTGTATTAAAGCTGGACACGGCTTCCCTACCTGAAGTAGTTTCAGTATTTCAAAGAACACGGGGTGTGGTAATTCCCTCCTTTTATACCAATCCATTGAATGAGGAAAAATCAGCTTTGCAAGGCATTGATGTTCATTGTTGTGGGCTAGAATACATGAACAAGACTAGGAGTATCAGGAAATTGTACATTCTGTTCATACTATTTTCAGGACCAAAAGAGGGCCTGAGAGCTTCTAAAAGCTCTATAGGAAGGTGGATTAAATTGACAATCAAACACGCTTATGATCTACAAAATTTTAAAACCACCAGAACATATTACGGCACGCTCTTTGAGGGCCTTGGCCTCTTCATGGGCAGAAAGTGCAGGGGCTACACCAGATCAGAGCTACCTGGTCCAGGTTCTTGACATCAAGTACTATAGAGTTGATGCGACAGTCAACCAAGATCAGACTTTCGGGAGGAAAAGTCCTGCAAGTGCCCCCCTAGTTGTGAGTATGGTGCTCGCTTATCCTCTCTGATGCTGTCCTGGAAGGTGACCTAGAGAATATTAGAATTAGGTACCTGGTAACTCTGCTTCTAGGAACCTTCCAGGACAGCAGGGATTCCCTCCTGATATTGGAGAGTTTTTAGATTGGAATATATTTTATATGCATATATGGATGATGCTCTATCATTGTATCCTTAATTTCTTATATTTTAACTGGTATGCAGGGCATGTGATCCTTTTTCTATTAGGTGTGGGTGATGTGTTTACTGTTCCGGTGGGAGGAGCCCATCTCTCTGATGCTGTCCTGGAAGATTCCTAGAAACAGAGTTACCAGGCACCTAACTCTCATAATCTGAGCCGACCTGTGACAAATACCGTCGCTCGCTCACTTCTCGATCTGTACGTGCAGAGAGCCCTGTCACTCACGGCTCCCTGCAGGGATTCCACCTCCCCTGTCCGATCCTCCAGCGCTGACTGGGAGCTATGTCACTTAGGCCTGGTTCACACCTGGGCGTTTTACAGCGCGTTCCTACGCCCTGTAAAACGCTCAACATGTGAAAACCAATGATTGCCTATGGGCATGGTTCCCACCTGGGTGTTTTACAGCGCGTATGAACGCGCTGAAAAACGCCCTACGCCCAAAGAAGTACAGGAGCTTCTTTGGGGCGTTTTGCAGTGCGTTTACATTGGTATTCCCAAGTGTGGATCGGGGTTAACAAAGCGGTAATACAGCGTATAGGTCTTACTTTGACCACGATCCCTGATGTGTCCTCCGGGGGCTTCCGGGTTTCGTCCCTTGCGAGCGGCTGTGCCGCAAGGGGGCGGAGCCGGCGGGAAGTTTAAAAGTGAAACTAAAAAAAAATATTATTATTTTTTTAAATAGAGAAAATAAAAGAGAAAAAATAAATAAAAATTATACCGCCAGCAAAACGCGAAAAAAACGAGCTGAAAAAATACGCTCAGGTGTGAACCCAGCCTTAAAGTTTCCCATGTATAAACAAAACCATCATATGACATCGATTGAACATGCTGGCTGACACTGATTTAATATATATGACTGAATAACACACTTTGAAGCTTCCTGATACAAAGAATTGTTCGCTGACACTAATTCACAGTATCTACTTTGTATCTCTGTGTCTAATCTTCACTTGTATTGAGGTTGTCAGTTTGAACAACAATTCACTAAACTCCTCCATATGCAAATTGTTATCTGTATAGTGGGTGCTGCCGGGATTCCGGTAGATAAATTAAATGAAGATCTATTCTTTGATAACGCATAAGCTGGAGTGGGTCTGACTACTAGATCATATGATCTTTACTCAATATATTTATGTTATTCCCAATGGTGGTCATGTGAATTTAACCCTGCAGGAATGAATGTATTGTGCGTTTTGATTAGACAACATTGTCAATTTTAAAGAGATTTTAAAGAGATTTTTGGGATGTGGTGCAATATATCTGTGTGCGATTTTTGTGACATTCGATAAATTTTTTGTTTTCTTTGTATATATGGTCTGAAGTAACTTCTTTTTCGGTTTGGCACGCGGATCCTATGTTTGTTCACTGACTCAGACCACCAGCCTCTACCTAGATCTTAAATTATTGATTTTGGGTTAAGTGACCCTTGAAGTGGCCACTATTGCTACAAATAATAGTTGTATACATTTTTTATTACACACAGGTCTTGAAAGAGGGGAGAGCAAACCTGTTAAAGTGCCAAAAGAGAGGGTTCAGCAGTTGATCTCGCCAGATGTGTTGCAGTTCATGGAGAGTTTGATGAATACGGCTGAGTTGTAAGTAATTCTGTATCACCGTTTTACATTGGAGCTGGAGATAGACATTAGAGGATGCAGGCACGGTCTCACTGTCTGAAGATGTCTTTTGGAACAGCTTCAGTATAAACATAAACTCTTGGGCTGCTTGAGCATTTATGCTTATGCCAGGGATGGACAAATCCCAGGAGCCAGGTAGCTTATGCTCCCTAAAAATTACAGCTGACGCCTAACATTTGGGTTTATAAAGCTGGATCTTGCATTCCATATTAATTTGTCCACCCCTGGCTTATGCCAAGGAACAGGACCCTGTGAACAACTTCAGCAAGGGCTAATATATGGCACACTTTTCAAACCTGTCAGATCACCTTTTTTTCCCCAGATCTGTTTGCTGAAATCAGCAGCTGCAATTGCTGATGTCTTCTGAAAATGCTAGATGCCTGTTTTTCATGTGGACACTCCTTTCAGCACTTTTAAATCAATGATTTGAGGTATACAGATAAGGACTTCAGCCTTTACTCTGTATAATTGTCAGTGACTCAAAAAGTATTCATGACAGCGCATTTTCAGATGGTCAGTAGTACACGGAAGAAATGACACTTTGCTACAATGTAAAGTAGTGAGTGTACAGCTTGTATATCAGTGTACATTTGCTGTCCCCTCAAAATAACTCGTACAGCTCTTAATGTCTAAACCGCTGGCAACAAAAGTGAGTACACCCCTAAGTGAAAATGTCCAAATTGGGCCCAAAGTGTCAATCTTTTGTGTAGCCACCATTATTTTCCAGCACTTCCTTAATCCTCCTTGGGCATGGAGTTCACCAGAGCTTCATAGGTTGCCACTGGAGTCCTCTTCCACTCCTCCATGACGACGTCACGGAGCTGGTGGATGTTAGAGACCTTGCGCTCCTCCACCTTCCCTTTGAGGATGCCCCACAGATACTCAATAGGGTCTAGGGCCTATCATTGAGGTTAAGAAATGGCAAATTTGTATATAGCGGAAAGTGTCTGCAGTGAAAAATTTATGTCTAGCGCGTAAGGTTGAAAAGGGCGTAATACCATTGGAGGAGAGAATGAATGAGTGTTATGTTGTTGGCGGACCAGAGAGAAAGAAGGGCGGAAGGCAGGGTTGTGAAGAAAGGAGAGAGAGGTGGGGGGAAATAAGATTTCCAGAGTACTTCACCAAATCCCATGTCTTCAGTGAGTTGAGAGTTATCGGGTTGTGGATGTGGGGGCGAGTTTTCGGGCTAGAGCGGGGCAAGTTGTGTACTCCGATTGGAGCACAGTCTACGGCTTCATAGGAGACCCACAAGGGAACTTCAGCTGAGGCATGGTATTTAGTTAGAGGGGCTTGGTAATATTGAGCTATGTTAGGAACAACCAAACCACCTAAAGGTCTAAGAAGAAGCATAGAGTGTCTAGGAATACGAGAATTACGACCCGCCCAGACGATGTGCATCACTTGTCTCTGTAGTATACGGATGATATGGGAGGGTATAGTAACAGGGAGGACTCTGAAAAAATAAAGTAGAGGAGGAAGGTAATTTTTATAGCTGCTATACGTCCCATTAAAGAGAGGAGGAAATGGAACCAGGTAGAGAGTAGGGAGCGTAAGTGTTGAAACAACGTAGGGTAATTAGCTGAGTACAATGATGTATAGAAAGAAGTCAGATGGACCTTATTTTTCTATTTTTAACAGGTCGGCCTTAAGCGCAAAAAGAATGGTCAACTTTGAGAATGTCCAAGCTGAACTCGCTGGTCTTCAGAAAATGTAAGCCGTCTGGTAATATTCTTTGTACTAAAAGAGAATCTCCAAGGGTAGTCTTGCTTGCTTCCAAGTACTTTGAGACATTTTTCATTGCACAAGTACAGGGAACCTGCAGGGAGACCAAGAGAAAACTGTGAGTGCAGATACACTTATAAGTGCTGCAGCACCTTTTTTATAATGGGAGGCCATAGTTCTACTTTGATTCTTTCATACACTATCCATAAACAAAATGTAAGCTTTAAAGGGTGAGTCTACCATACAGTGGAATTTTAGTAGTACTCTGTGTTTCTTCTCCATAATGTAGAAAAAGGATGGTGGAAACCCCTCATAATGGGTACAGTTGTTGTGCGGAGCTGGGAACTCAACACCAAGATTTCACCAACACTGTTCCAGAGAGAGAAGACACTGTCAGTTTTAGGATTCCTGACCCTTTAATTTTATCTTGCCAGTTATTCAACTGTGGCACATATACTGACTTCCAGACATCCACTTGCAAACCCCTGTATAAAATGAATCCTGAAAATAAGGCATAGCTTGTATGCAGAAAGTAAAGTGTATTTTACTGATGCATATTATTCAACA